ACCGCCTGCCCTTTGCAGACCCCCTCCGCCGCCCCGGTGGCCTCCGTCCCACCCTCTGCCCCGGCAGCCGGAGCCGCGCCAGCCCGGCCCAGCGACGCTGTGCAACACCTTGGCCTTGAGAAAGCAGCGACCTGCTCCTGGGGACGCTCAGCCTGGGATGCTCCGCTTCCACACGGGGCCAGACCCCCGCCCGGGAAAGCTCCGGGGTTTGGCACGGGGCAGGGGGGGGCTGGCAAGCTCTCCTCCTCCTGCGCTTCTTTGCAAGCCCCAGCAGAGTCTCCAGGAGGGAGCGGTGCCTCCTGCATGCTCTGCGTGGCTCCTCCTTGGGGGTCCCCATCGCCAGGAAGCCGGGGGACAGCGCCGGGCCCTCCGCCGCCTGCACCCGTGGAGGGGAGTGCTGCCTCTCGGGCTCCAGGACCCCTGGCTTCCCCCCGAGGATGAGGAGGCTGTGCAGCCAAGGGATCTTGGTGTGAAGTCTTGCTGCTGCCTTCTCGCCTGCCGGCGGCGTTCAGAGCGGCGTTCAGAGCAGCGTCCCCTCCTTCTCCCCCCAGGGCACAGCTTGGTTTGTGCTTTGAGCGAGACGGGACCTTGCTGGCTGCCAGAGGGAACCCCCAAGTCTCTGCCTCTGCATGGGCACGGCCCTGAGATGGGCTGCTCGGGGGCTGCGGGGCTGAGGCTGGAGGGGACCCAGGCATGGGTGAAGACTTTTCGGAGATGCCAGGAGACCCGCGGCATTTCCTTCCCCCCTTGGGTGCAAGTTCCCCTCCTGCTCCTCCGCTGCTGGCCGGGTCCCCGGGCTCCAAGCAGCCCCTTTCCACCCACGCCTCCGGTTCGGCTTCGGGGGACGGCGGTTCAGACACCCACTCGGTGAGCACGATCTGGGGGAGGGAGAAAGCCCTGCTCCCCGGGGCTGCCAGGGCCAGCGGCTCCTAGGTAGAGAATTCAGACAGATTAAGAGCCGGGGAGAGCGGAGGGCGGCAGCAGGGAGCAGCCGGGGGGCACTACGGGTCCGCACACACGGCTCGGGTCCCCCATTGCCGATGCCCCCCAGTAATCGTGGTGCTGCAGGGAGGTGCTCAGCCAGCAGGGAGATGCTCAGCTCCCTCCTGCCCAGCCCTGATGTCCCATTGGTGCCCACAGGCACCCACAGGGACCGGTTTTCTATGGTGCAACCCAGATCTGTAAGGTTTTGGCAATGACTTGCCTGGAGTTTTTAGCAAGGGTGTTGCTGCACCTCTCAAATAAATGCCTTTGGAAAGCCTCCTGCCACAGTCCGGCTGAGATTTCACCCATGCTGGTATAAACTGGCACAGCACTGGTGCAAGAGCAGAGTCTAGCCCTCCCAGGCTGCTCCCAGCAGAGCTGGAGCCATCGCAGTGGAGCTGCCAAGGGGCACAGGACCAAACCCTGAGCAGCAAGAAGTCACTGTCCTCTGCTCCCCAACCTCTCTGTCCTTGTCCCAAGGCAGAGCCACGCAGTGCCCGGGGCAGCAGAGCCGGCTGTGCCCTTGGCGGAGGCGAGGGAAGGCGAGCTGGAGAGATCATAGAATCATCGAATGGTTTGGGTTGGAAGGGACCCCCAGAGGTCACCCAGCCCAACCCCCCTGCAGGAGCAGGGACACCTTGAACCACATCAGGTTGCTCACAGCCCCATCCAACCTGGCCTGGAATGGTCCCAGGGATGGGGCCTCCACCCCCTCTCTGGGCAACCCCTGCCAGGGTTTCACCACCCTCACTGGAAAGAATTTCTTCCTTAGATCCAGTCTAAACCTCCCCTGCTTCAGTTTAAAGCCATCCCCCCTTGTCCTGTCCCAGCTGGCCCTACTAAAAAGCTTGTCCCCCCCTTTCCTCTGGGCCCCCTTGAAGCCCTGACCGGCCGCACTCAGCTCTGCCCGCAGCCTTCTCTTCTCCAGGCTGAAC